CACACACACCACACACACACCACACACCACACACACACACACACACACACACACACACACACACACACACACAACACGCACCACACACACGCACACAAGTGACTATATCTCACATATATGTGAGCAGGAGCCAATCGGGAAGCGGGATCGTTAAAGACCCTGGACTACGTGCGTGCGTTCGGGCTGGAGGCGCTGACCCGCGAGCTCAGCATCGTCGTGACCGAGCACCGGGACCACCGCAACCTGTTCCACCTGTGCGCCGACAAACTCGATTCGCCCCAGGACGACTCAGTGGTGCGGGAGTGTGCGTACGGGTTGGTGCTGGAGCTCCTCAGCGCCGGCGCTGGCGACGGCGGCAGCGACAGCGCCGAAGAGTGGCGCGTGGTGGTGATGCCCTACGGCAAGTTCTTCAGCCACTACCGCGTCGAAGCCCTTCCCACCATCGACCACATCTCCTGGCCCCACGCCACCGGTACTCCCAGGCCACCCGCACCAATTGATCGCGCTACTACTCTTTCATTGGCGCTAGCCTCACCTTGTCATGTGTCGTGTGTCGTGTGTCGTGTCATATGTCGATGATGCGTGTGTCGTGTCGCGCGTGTGCGTGTGCGATGATGCGTGTTGCGCAGTGACGGAGAAAGTGGACGGCACGATGGCCACGCTCTACTGCTACCAGGGCCGCTGGTACGTCTCCTCGTGGGAGTCGCCCGAGGGCAGCGAGGAGTTCATCTCCGCCGTCACCTCCGACGGCCAACGCTACTACTACTCCCGAAGACCCGTACGGAATCTCAATCACGCGCGCTTGTGTCGTGTTGTGTCGTGTCGTTGGTCGTTGGTCGTTGGTCGTTGGTCGTTGGTCGTTGGTCGTTGGTCGTTGGTCGTTGGTCGTTGGTCGTTGGTCGTTGGTCGTTGGTCGTGTCGTTGGTCGTGTCGTTGGTCGTGTCGTGTCCTTTGACTGATGGTGTGCGGGGTTCAGGGCTACAACCCGTGGAAGTTCTTCGAGGCCAAGCTGGAGTGGGCCTACTCCAATGAGAAGTTCGAGGAGGACCGGGCCAAGGGCTACTTCCCCAACCAGGTGGCGTCGGTCCTGGCCGCCGCCGGCGCGACCGCGGTGCGACAGAGCACGACCACCTTTGCCGACTTCTTCTGGGACATCTGGCGGCAGAGGGGCCACCGCCTGCCCGAGGCCGACGCCGTCGTTCAAGGCCGCACACCGACCGAGAAGAAGAAGTTGGCCGACTTCGTGTTCATGTTCTGCATGAGCTGCGATCGACAGTCGCTCGTGTTGGCCCACGGCGACAGCGACACCGTACGACACACACCACACACACACACACACACCACACACATCTGACAAATCGCGCGCGCACACAGTGGGAAGAGCGGTTGGTGCTGCACGGGGTGAGAGACATGACCACGCTCGAGGAGGAGGCCGACATCGAGCCCTTTGCCCGCGCGCTCGGCTGCGCGACGCCGCAGCGGATCTACAATCGTGCGTGCCCGGCCCACAATCGCTTGCGTGACATCGAGAGTCCCCTCCATGACACGTGCGGTGTGTGCGGTGTGTGCGCGTGTCTTGTGCGGTGTGCGTGTGTCGTGTGCGGTGTGTGCGGCGACAGCTGAGGGTGGTGGCGACCAGTTCGAGAGCATGGAGCAGGTGGTGAAGCTGTCGCTGGACCTCGACCCCATGGTGTCGTGCGGGTTCGTGGTGGCCGACCGCAACTTCAACCGCGTCAAGGTCAAGTCGCCCGCCCATCGCGCCCTCGACAAGCTGTGCTGGCGGTACATACCCTCTCTTTCATTTGACGATCAACTGACTCCACACACACACGACACACACGACACCATGTGACAGGTCGGACGATGAGGAGCGGTCGACCACGCTGATGCTGGACGTGGTCAGGACCAACGACCACACCTCGTTCCTGGAGCGCTTCCCACAGTGGCGCGGCTTGTACGCCGACGCGCGGCTCGAGTGGGACCAGTTCACCGGATACGTCGACTCTGTGTTCGCTGCGATCCCGTGGCCGCCCAAGCAACAGCCAACGGCAGTGGACGGTGGTGAAAGTGAGCCCGCGGGCGGGGCTGCGATGATGGACGACTGCGTGAAGGCGGCCAAGAAGAGCGGCCTCGTCGCGCCGGTGCTGTTCAAGATGTACCACCGCTCGTGCGCCGCCAGGGAGGTGCTCCGGGACTACCCGCAGCACCTCTTCCTCCGCATGCTCAAGTCCTGGCGCCGAGAAGAGGCCACCAAAGCCCACAAATAAATGTGTATGTTTCTTTAATTATGTTTGCTATGCTAATGTTATGTTTTTTTTTGTTATTTGTAATGTTATGTTATAATTCTGGTTGTTGGTCGTTGCGGTTGTGCGGGGTCGGCCGGGCATAGGATGGAGGGGCGGTCGGAGATGTCGAGGCTCCACCCGGCCGGCGCTTCGAGGCCTCGCGTGCCGGCCAGCGCGGCCGCGGCGTTGGCAACGACGGTCTCCAGACGCACCCCCACAGCGCGGATCGACACATCACCGGACCCGGGGCACATGTACTGGCCGCATTGGCCCCTGCGCGTGCAAGTGTGCGATGTGTGCGATGAGCGCAGAGGGAGCGTGTGCGGTGTGTGCGGTGTGTGCGGTGTGAGTACGGTTGGGAACTGGCTTCGGTGCTGTCGCTCCCTTGCTCCTCGTCTGCGTGCGTCCACTCTCTGATCTGTTCGAGGAAGCCTTGGTAGAAGAGCGGCTCGTTCTTGATCAAAGCGAAGCTTGCGGTCTGCTCCAACACACGCGACACGCAACACACGACAGATGAGATCAAGTCACTGCTGTTTGGGGGGAGGGCCGCCTGCGTGCAGCTTGTACCGAGCAAAAGTGAAAGAGCGCAGAGATCGAGTGCAAGTGGCGCGGTTCGTGCAGCATCCGCACCAGCCACGCGCACCCGTGCCGAAGCCCGTACGGATGTCGTTTGCCTGCACCGCCGCCGCCACCCACCCGCCCCAGCGTCAGGACAAGCAAGCAATCGCAGGAGACGGGTTGTATTCCAGTGGTGGTGGTAGTACCTTTGGGCGGTTCAGTTTGGACAAAGGCGGCGTAGAGGGTCACCAGACCGCTCATGCTCTGCTGATCGAGCTCGAGCGCCCCCTCTCCGCCTTCCGTACGAAACCACCGCCGACGCACCGCGTCGCCCTGCGTGAACACAAAGGAATGACAAGAATTCAGCAAGTAGACATGGTGGAATGCAGGAATGCAGGAATGCAGGTTGGTGGGGGAGTACTGGGAGGGTGGGGTGGTAGGGGAGGGTGAAGGGGCACGCGTTGTAGAAGTGGAGCAGGACCAGGCGCGCCAGGCGCGGCTCGTCGACGCAGAGGCCCACGGCCAGACCGGCGAACGCGTAGGCCGTAGCTGCGTGGTGCGCCACCACCGCCCTCCCGACGTGCTGCCAAGTGCACATATGTGTCGTGAGTGCGTGTGCGGTGTGTGTCGTGTGTGTGTCGTGTGTGTGTGTGTGTGTGTGTCGTGTCGTGTGTGTGTGTCGTGTCGTGTGTGTGTGTGTGTCGAGCGGGAAGCGGCGCACTGTGAGACGCAGAGCAAAGTGGTGGAGGCAAAAGAGGTGCAGTGCGCTCTGGCCGTCGCGTTCCTCCTCCCGCCTGGCCCGCGCGAGCAGCTCCCGCACCTGCTCCGTCTTCGCCGCCACGTCCGCCCGGTCCACCGAGACCTGGTTCAGCACCGTGTTCAGCTGGCCCTCGTAGAACCTATCGAGCGCACGTTAGACGTGTCGTGCGTGTAGTGCGTGCCGTGCGTGTCGTGATGTAGAGCTCAAGTACGTGCGGCGGTCCCGAAGGTGAGCGGTGGCGTCGGTGTCGGTGGCGAAGGTGGCTTTGAGGCGCGCGAGCCGGCGGACGGCGTGGGCTTGCACCTGGCGCGGGATCACCTTGCTGGTGCCCTCCAGGTAGAGCTGGCGCCAGCTGTCGCCGTAGAACGGCAGCAGCGCCGCGCTCTCGGCCCAGCCGCGCGTGCAGAGCTCCTGAGAGGTGAAACCCCCCCCACGGCGTCGTGGCGTGGCTTCCGCCTCGTGTGTAGCGCCAGCAGACACGCAAAGATGGAAGAGAGATGGAAGAGAGATGGAAGAGAGATGGAAGGGGTACCTTGAAGAAGAGTTCATCGAGGCACTGGCAGCGGAACCCTGGGCTCACGTGGGAGGCAGCAAGCAGGTCTCCCGGCGAACCCTGGAGGAAGGACAGCACGTGTTGAAACACTTCACTTTGCACGAAGCACCAGAAAAGTTAACTTCGCAGCACCACATATCTTTCTATTCTGGTGGTGTCCTACCTGGGCAAGCCTTCCATGGAGAACAAGTCACGAACGAGGTAAGATATATTAAATCTTGTAGTGTTTGCTTGAAGTCTCGTGCCGGGCAAGACGAATATTAAAATGCAGCTGAACTGGCGGATGACGACGATTGAAAAGGAGTTGCTATTTTTTCAGGGCCTTGTTTGGGGAAGCTCACGAAAGACAGGACGCCCGATTGACAATGGCAACCTGCCAGCGACAACGAAGGGCTCTTTGGCGTAGTGGTAGCGCGTCGCTCTCGTAAAGCGAAGGTCGAGGGTTCGATCCCCTCAAGAGCCTTTCCGTTTTGTTTTTCGTGGTCCTGTGTTTCCTTCATGAAACCTTGGGTGTATTGATTGGGCTGAAGAGCGGCAACGAGGTGCGAGCCTTGTTGAATGTGCGGCTGATCGCGTGGAGCTACTACCCTTTTGGCTTCAATGCTGCCCCACCTCTGCCCCACAGAGCATTCGGAATCTGTGTGTGTGAGCCACAGGACACATGTGGTTTGTTGTGTAACCAAAACAATGATCAATCAGCACTCCTATGGTGTGACCTGAGTGGTGTACATTTTCCTCATGTTCATAGTTGTAGTGGAACACAAAGTACTCCTGTACCTTCCAGGCATTGTTGACTTTGGGTTGGTTGGCAAGGATGGTGAGCTGGCCCTGGAGATACACCAACCCACTGCTGGTGTTGAACAAGATTATGTTGAACTCACACCCAGTGTGAGAAATCACCTGCACATTACCACCATTGTCATGGTCATCACTAGCAACCACCACCACACTTGAAACACTAGCAAAATCCAGAGTGAAGGGAATCCCAAGCAAGTTTTAGGGTTTTCCCTGCAACACTATGGGGTCCCTGTGAGTTACTGGGCACCAACTCAAGCTTTTGGAAAACAGCTTCAACATTTCAGGTCTTCAGGACTGTTGCTGTTGGTGCTGGTCCAAATCCATTTTATTGTTGTTGTTCAACAGGAAGGACCTTCTTGCAAACAATCCTTGTCATGCCCACCCGCACCAGAGCCCAGCAATGGACATTGGCCTCCCCAACCTCAGCCTGCAGGGCGGGCACATATTTACCTTGAGCCTCTTGGATCACCTCCTCCAACACAGTCCACACCATGGACCCAGGCTTCCTGAAGTTGTCCCCCTTGGCAAGGGGCAGGTCAAGGACAGCCTCGTCATCACCACCCATGTTGTCAATAGTACGGGAGATCTCAACCTGCTTCTCCCAGCTCTGCACACCTTGGCCAAGCACCAGCCCTTGCACCTTCACATTCTTGAGTGTGAAACAGTAGTGCTGTGTGGGCATGAAGAGAGAGAGAACAGTCAATCTTGTGGAAATGAGAGAGACAGAGTCCATGTGTTCCATGCAAATACCTGCGGTTTCTGGGGGGCGACCACCTGCTGGCTGATGTAGACGACATCCAGTGTGGGACCTGATGTGTTGGAGTGCCTGGCCACTGGGTTGACTTTATACTCCTTCCTCACACAGTCGCCAGGGCGGCGAGCAAGCAACATCGCATTGTAGACAGCTGCCCCCCCCCCACACCCCATGGTGTGTTAGTCGTTTGTATCAACCCCTCCTCCCCACCCACCAAGGTGGTCTCACAATGAGTACCTTGTGCAAAGGGGTCCTCCCCACTGAGCGCATCACGTCTGTCAAGTCCGCGCAGCAGGAATCGGGAGACAGCTTGACAAAACGGCTCGACCTGCCTCCCGTCCACCATTTTCACGATCGCCCCGCGCAGCTGCTGCACTCCAATTTCATCGATGTCCAGCAGCCTCTGCAGCTCGACTGTAAACTCCTTGCGGGCCACGTTGTTCGGGATGCGCAGGGAGTGCTTGAGCTTGGGCGGAGATCGAGCGTAGGTCAACGCCCCGGTGTAGAACATGAACGAGAGCAACGGCGTGCGACCCGTATTGAGCTCGTGCATGTGCGACAGGCGGAACTGGTTCGCAACCCCGCCTGCGCACTCGAGCTCAGCGTCATCTGAGGACAGGGCTTCTGCGACCACCAGCG